CCCTATATAACCCCCTTTAAGGACTTTAGACCCTAAATCCTATATATCCCTATATAACCCTACATAATGCCCCATACAACCCCCTTTAAGGAGTTTAGACTATAGCTCATATGGGGGTTCAGGCTTGGGCTGGTGGGAGCTCAGATGGGAAGATTTCCCTCAAGCTCATTGGTTTAGGGTTTAGGGGTGTTGCCACATGACATGCGGAGAGGATGGGAATTGGGACCCCAGACCTGCACCGCAGCTTATAAAGTCTTGTTAGAGGGACGCAGCGTTTGTCGTAAACCCTCAAGCACGAGGCACTGGGCACCCGAGATATTAGGGTCGCCGTATATGTGCGGTTACTCATGTTGCTGAACCTGCGGGGGGATGTGCTGTGGTAGGTGGTGCGCGTGCTGCTTGGTTGCACCCCCTGCATGTGTGGTGACTGCGCATGTGCGCAGTTGATACACAAGCACCATCAAGCACCCCACAGATTCCTAAGCCTTAAGCTTTGCATGCACAAGACCTGGCAAGAAATCCCTACCCAGAACCGTGTGGGGGATCTAGCATCTAGACCCCTTGGAAAGTGCCGCCCAACCTCTGGTATAAGGTGCTAAATTGGATTTTCTTGGTTCGGTAAACCTTGTGCCCAGGCCTGCATCGAAGTCAGAAGGCCTCATGGAAGAGCGGGCATCGTCCCGCTCCGAAGCTCGACTTGCGTGGGAGCCCTCAGCAGTTTGAGTTTTGGGGTCTGGGGCGTTAGGGCTGGGCTGCTGAAGCTTGGAGATGATTTAAAATGTGTCGAGTGCACTGAGTCAGACCCGATGACAGGTTTTGCATCTTGGTGTTGCTCGGCATTCAGAGCGTAGGAAAGCTTGGATGGACATTTGTTGTTTGAGACGTGCACTTCCAAAGCTCAGTTACAAGATGGGAAAAGAATTCAGCTCTGGCAAGTCAGCCTTGAACAACCTCTGCCATTAACCCAACCCTGCCCAAGCCATGTCGGCCATATCGTGCATCCATCCAAAATCAGCTCCGGCGTTCCAGCCTTTCGCATCCCAACCCTGCACGAGCCATGTCGTGAAATCCGCGCACAAGCCGTTAGACCCTTCCAACGTCACCCTCCGCAAGTCTTATCAACATTTTACAGCCCCCATGGAAACGGATACCAAGACATCTCTCCAAGCCTTGCAAGTCCTGCATTATGCAGTTCTATCCTGAGCTAACACTCATGGAACACTCATGGGATCCCACAAACGCTCCTTCCAAGCGGTCATGAGGTTGGCATTTCTTTTCTGGGCGTCCATGTTTGTTGTAGAAAGAGTGTACCGCCGTAATCGCCAAAGCCCCTAAGCCTTACACCCCAAGATCCAGAGACCCTTGATTGCTAAATATGCCGGAACGTTCAGCCTGAATTTACATGTACAAAGCCTGCCCCGCCCAGGGACCCAGACCCCTGTGGAGGATCTAGTACGTATACCGTTCTGATGAACTGCTGGTATGAGATACAGGATTGAATTTCTCTTTTCGGCCCTCTCAGAAGCTATGGGGTAAATCTTTTGCCCAGGCCTGCGCCGAAATCAGCAGGCCTGTCGGAAGAGCGGGCGACGTCCCGCTCCGAAGCTCGACTTGCGTGGGGGCCCTCAGTGGTTTGAGTTTTGGGGTCTGGGGCGCTAGGGCTGGGCTGCTGATGCATAAAGCTGATTCAGGACTAACACGCGCATAGGTGTCAGAACCGATGACAGGCTTGGCATTTTGATGTTGCTTGGCATAGGAAAGCTTGTATGGAAGTTTGCTGTTTGAGACGTGCACTTCCAAAGCTTGGTTACAAGATGGACAAGAATGCAGCTCTTTTAGGTCCCTTGGGCAACCTCCTGATTAGCCCAACCTTGCCCAAGCCATGTCGGCCAAACCGTGCATCCATCCAAAATCAGCTGTAGTAGTCCTTTCAGACGAAACAGAAATCAAACCTTATGAGTCTAGACTTGGACCCTTCCAAAGTGACCCTCCGCAAGTCTTATCAAAATTTTACAGCTCCCATGGAAGTTGATACCAAGAAATCTCTCCCAAGCCCTGCAAATCCTGCATTATGCAGTTCTATCCTGAGCTAACACTCATGGGACCCCAAAAGGTTCCTTCCAAGCGCTTATGAGGTGCGCACTTCTTTTCGGGGGCATCCATGCTTCTTGTAGAAAGGGCGCAAAAACCGTAATCCCGAAAGCACCTCAGCCTCACACCCTACAAGGCCTACGCTCTAGAGACGCTCTCTTGCCCAATCTCCTGGAAGATTAAGCCGTCAAGCCTGTACTTTTACAATGCCTGCTCTACCCAGGGATGCAGACCCCTGTGGAGTATCTAGTGAGTAGACACCCTTCAGCGTTCCGATTTAATTTCTTGCTTTAGGTCCGAATTTTGTGCCCAGGCCTGCATCGAAATCAGGAGGCTTGTCGGAAGAGCGGGCGACGTCCCGCTCCGAAGCACAACTTGCGTGGGGGCCCACAGCAGACGAGGGGCATGATTGATCATGATTGAAATTCTCTCATAGTCATGTCCTTGCTATGCCTCGGTCTAGGTAGACCTAAGCCTCCAAGGTTTCCCAACAATTGATTTCAACACCAATTTGACGGGGGCATGCGTTATTTTTGGATATTTGTTGGCAATTTGTCAGGAGGTCTCACCAGTTTGCGAGGATGCAAGAATTCTGCCGTGGGGTTGCAGTAATCCAAAAGCAAATAGAGACCCCAAAGATGGAATCAGGGTTCAGGGTTACACAGCTGCCACAATAGCTCTACCCAGACCCTCGTATGAAGTTTGTTTTTGCTGAATCCCTTCCCAAAAATCCATACCAAACCCCAAAAGGAACCATATAGGAGGAGCACTCAAGTAAACTCTAAAGTACGTACCAGAATTGCATAGGCATGGGCAGAGCTTCTCGAAGTTGAATGACCCATGGGAACGCTTTGGGGATTTTGATGGGAGTATTATGGGTAAAGGGTTTAGAGGTTAAAGGGTGGGTAGGGGGGCTCAACGGAATCACTATGGTTTAAGGTTTCAAGTACTCAGCGGACTGTATCCACTGCAAACGGTCGTAGTATCCACAGCTCGCCATGAAGGCTTGGAAGAATCCCTTAGGCCTAGGGTTCAGGATTTAGGGTATAGGGGTTAGGATTCAGGGTTTAGGATTTAGCATTTAGGGTGTTGGGTGCCTTTCAACTTCAACAAGCTGATGATTTTTGCAGGCAGGCGGGGTACAGTAGGGACATTACCCCAAGAATGGAGAACCAGATGAGAAAGAACATGGAACATGAAATCTATTGGGGCGTATAAGCATGCATGATGGTTCTAGATTCCTTACACAAGAATGGTACAGGGTAACTAATAAACTTCAGTTAAATAGTTATATTGGTAATTATTCAACCCCCTCGCACATTCACCTGCAGCTATTCTAGCCCTTGACGGCAAGAGAATAGCTAATGCGCATTCGCCTGGAATCCTGCGATTCCGCCCAGCAATAGAGGCTCTTTTTGCACACATGGACTTGTTTCTCAACCAAGACATCTGTCTGCTACACCCACTATTACCAGTACTGGGCTTTAGATGCAAGGTCAACCGCCACTGGTGGTGGCACGCGGTCTGAAGCTGAGAATGCGAAGCAACATTGGACGGGATGTGTTCTTGTTCTGGTGCACGTTGCTTCGTGCTTGTTGCTTCTAATGCGCACCCGTCGCCCCTCGAAGGATGTGCTTTGCTATATGCATTCTAGTGCAACTCACTCACGCTCAGATCTCGTTAAGCAGATGGAATTACAGTAACATGAGGAACGGATCGCAATCTCACGTATTCTTTTCTCATTTGCCAAAAATACGCTGTTAATTCAAGCTAGATGCGGGTGTTTCTGAACACGTGATCTAAACAGGTTATAGGGATCTGTCTCACAAATTCTGGACAGCTTATTCTAAGATTTTCCAACGGATATGATTTGTTCTTTCACGGTCATGGTGTATCCAGAATCCTCTAAGCTAAGATGGAAGCCCAAAGATCGCGCTTCAGAAGAACAGTGGTCTTCAAAGAGCTTGTGTTTTGTGGGGGAAGGGGCATGTTAGTTTGGGTCGGCATGAGGTCTGAAAGCTTGCGACGCGGGTCGCCTGACGCCTAGACATTTGCGGGTCATGGATGTGGCTTTGCCAATCTCTCCCCCCCCAAGCCCAGTCCAAGTTCACCCCGCATCTCGCCAAATATTGCCCAAGAAATTTGTAAGAACCATAGACGGATAGCGGTTTGCATTGTTTGTGGTTTTAGGGGTGTCGGGGTTTTGCACAGGATTACTTTTCCACATGGATCATCCTATTTCCCTGACCCCTACTAGTACCATTACCAACAAACCCTGAGCGGTTGTTAAGGCACTCCTCTTGTGATTCGCATTGTTACGCTTGTCAACTGTGTCCCAGCTACCATTCCCATGCGCTTTGAGGGTGCTTGGAGATATTGCTTGGCCAATGCCAAACGCATTACACGGTCCAACCATTTTAAACCTTAAACAAGATTGAAACATTGCAGGGGACTTGATTTGTGCTTTCGGGCTTAGGGTTTAGGGACCCTAGCAAACCCTGACTCCTAGGGTTTAGGTTTCAGGTTAGCTAGGCCATGCTTACCATGAGGGACCCCATGATGTGCTAGTGCTTTGAGATCACTGGCTAATGGTTCAGCGCGCAAGTAATGAGTAGGGTTCAGGGATGTTCAGGGGCCCTTCTTATGAAATTGCAGTTCCCCTGTGAGCGAGTCGAGCACTTGCCCTGGAAAAGGATGAAGGCGGGTCTTTATCGGCAACCCTTGTTTTGGGAAACTACAAATTCTTCAAGTCAAAGCGGGAAATTACAAAGCTTCAGACCGCGCGAACCCCTCCCAAGTTGATGATAAAGAAGCCCAATAGTTCAATAGTTCTCAATTTCTTCACATTCCTTGCATCTGTTTGTATGTGTGTGGGCTTCCCCTCCCGCACGTAGCCAGCAACACGCCAGGACGACCCAGTCACGAGCACCAGCTGCAACGGCCGTTAAGGGTCCGCAGGAGCTGTACAACCGCCTGCCTCTGGCTACCTCGCCGTCGGACACCTTTTCTTTGCCGGAAGGGGCCACTGCCTACGTTGTTGATGACGTCATCAATTCTGCGCAGGAAGTCGTCACAGATGGCTTCGGCGAAATGAGCCTCGACTTTGCCCTGCAACTTGGTCTGGTGAAGCAGGAGCAGGTCGAGGAGGGCATCTACCACGCCGTGCAATTTCTTGGTTTACTTACAGCTTTTGCCATGGGCGATGTCATCCTAGCTAAAAGGGTGCTGACAGAGCGCAAGCAAATGGAGCACACGCTGTCTCTTCGCAAGTTTTGCATGAAAATCCGCTTGAAGCCCACGGCAGACTTTGCAACCTCTTTCAACCCTGGCATCGACGTGGTGCAGACCACAGAAGTGCCAAAGGCATTCCCAAGCAGAGTGCCCACCTCTCCGCATTGGGCCTGAGGACTTGCTTCATACAAGGCCGCGCAAACAGACTGGCGGCAAGGGCTGAGCTCCGATCAGGCCCGGCGGGAGGAGACTCTTGGCAAGCTCGAAGCTTCCTCTTGAGGCTTTCCCCTCCAAGGGAGCCCTCCAAGCCTGGCATTGTTGCCAAGCCACTTCTGCGGCAGACTACCGTGCCTTATCACCGTGGCAAGATTATGCACGGCAGGCGGAGCATGTTTTGCCGTTCCCGACCTGTGCCTCGACAGTGTCACATTATTTGTGACGGGCGCCTGCTCACGGGGACTTTCGCAGTCTGGCGAAACCCGTGTAGAGATCCGGCAGGCAGTTGATCTGAAAGGCGATGCAGACCTGCTCCCCAACAACTGCATAACCTTCAGTGTGATAAGGCGTGGCGTGCTGGCGCTGGCTGGCGGCGATTACGAAGGAGACGTGATCTTGTTCATCTCGGACTTGGAACTGCTGGAGTTCCTCGCCAGCACTCCCGGCGGGGATAAAGTAGGGGACGAGGCAACAATCGAGGCTGCCCAGGTGCGCCAGAGAGAGAGTGTATTCCCATCTGGACTTTGGTTTACTGCTGCGCAGTTCCCACACTACAGACGCGCGGCCTCACTTGCGCCAATGCAGAGGGCGCTGCTGGCGGCCTGGAAATCGCGAAGACCGCAGCACTCTGGCGCCCTGCATCGTGCTGTGCAACTACGGCACATTGCGCACAAGGCCTGCTGTAGATGCAGAACCGTCATAAGTCATTAAGGAAAGGCGCAGCCCCTCCCCATCAAATAGAACGGACTGCGATAGTTTAGAACCTTGGGGCCCAAAGTTTTGAAGGTGGAGAGCTTTACAACACTGATAAGTGGCTGCCCTTATTTTTTGGATCCTTCCGTTTACGTACCCCCTGCCTGTATCCCTGGCTATCCTGCGCAGTAGAGAGTAACAATAGAGGTCCTTTCGCTTACCTCCCAATGCCCTTTGCGCAGGCCTACGACGCGCCGAAGAAGTATGCCCTACATCGAATCTGGAACCCTAAACCTTTTAAACGCTACATTGGTGGCTTCCATAAATAGGGGGCCCAGTCAATCTAGACCGCAACATGTAGTAAGCTTTCTTGTAGTGACCCGAAAAGGAGCCCGTAATTTTGGAAAACCCCCGGCATAAGCCCGATCTCCAAGCTAGTTTCCAATTCCATTCACATGCCATTTTGTTTGTTCATGTGAATCTCCCTTACTGGCACCATCTCCCCGCACTCAGTAGAATCACTTAATCCCGAGCATTACAAAGTTTTTCTATAAACCCTGCCTAGGCTCCACATCCCCAGGAACGCACCCTTCGCATCACGAACCGGTCTTCTAATGAAACGAAAGCCCTAAACCCCAAACCCTCTCATATACTTGACCGCTAGACAAGGTCCACGAGCAAGTCCTCGGCTACTTTAGAGAGCCATAGGGCGACTGCGAAGGAGGAGGTGGCCGTGAGAGGGCCTCAGCTGGATTCACATTTGTGGCGTTTAGGGTTTTGGGGTTGAGGTTTGGGCGTTTCACAAGCAATCATGGGCCCCTATCATTAAGGACTTCAACAGGTGTGCTTGCATATACATATATATATATATGTGAATATTTCTTGTCCTTATGCATGGAAGGTATGTATACATGTATATATATATATATCTTCATATACATATATAATACATACGTTGAGATGTTGGGTGTGCTTGTGGGTCCAAGGCTCCTCGGGTTTAGGGTTTTTGGTGCAGGGAAAGGTAGCCAAGCGTTTGATTGCAAGGCGTCGGGCGTGTATGCATATAGACATAAATATATGCGAATAATGGAAAATGTATACATATATTTTTATACATATACGTATATACATATACATATATACATGCGTTGAGATGTTGGGTGTGTTTGTGGGTTCAAGGCTCCTCAAGCTTAGAGTTTTTGGTGCAGGGTAAGGAAGTCAAGCGTTTGATTGCAAGGCGTCGGGCTTGGGATTCAATCGTTTTGGGGGGCTTTAGGTTGTAGGATTTAGGGTCATCCTTTTGGTGAATGGGTCGTGGTGGCGGACCTACCGAATCTCTTCATCGTAGAGGGATCTGCTCTGCGTTTCACAGTCGTGGGTGGATAAGTGCAAACTCCGCGCGCCACGGCCTAGCCTCTATGTGGAATCGAAGCAGGAGCTCGTATAGCTTGCAGCGCCTGTCTCCGGGATCGTTTAGACCAAGGGCTGAGTGTCCTGAACATTTTCCTGGGAGGCCTTGCAAGCAAGCGTGGAAGTATTCACGTCGGGACGGGCCAGCTACCTGCTGTACCCACATCCTTTTGGTACATCGGTGTCTGTACTTCTATAAACCCTCATGGCTCCATCTTTCGATAGCTTAGGATTCATATGCACAGCTGCACAGCTAATGGAGCAATACTACTAGCTGCTAGCCAGCGGGAGATTTCCCTAGGTTGGTAGACTACGGGTCGAAACATGTCGGATTACGATTGCAGTACGGTTCCTGAACCCCAAACCCGAAACTCCTTGATCTTAATTGCAACATGCATATCCCGTGTCCCCACATAGCCCCAGTTCCTAATTCAGCTTCCAATTTCGTCCTCGTCTGATTTTCCATTTTTAGGGTTCCAGGGCCTCCCACCCTAAACCTTTAGTCTGGAATTCCAACCTTGGCCGCAGTGCAAGGCGTTTGCTGAGAACCTTAAACCCTAACCCTTCAAATTCATAAGCTAGCTGCGCAGGCGACCATTGGCCGAGGTTGTGGCGGAGATGAAAGCGGCAGTGCAGCAGCGGGGATGCTGAGCACAAGCCGGAGGAAGGCGACGAGGCAGCGGATGGAAGCATTGATCTACAATCTTACTGGTTCTTGGTAGGGTGTAAGGGAATATGTTAAACAAGGAGTATATAGGGATTGTATTCCCATTTTCTCTACTGAGAACCAATAAGCAATGGAGCCTGGTGGTATGGAGGCAGACCCCAACGAGGGGATGGACGCTGGACCCGACGGAGTGCACCATCTTACTGGTGGTTGGTAGCAAATAAGGGAGATAATCCCCATGAAACCCTCCGTCTCTCTCTCTCTCTCTCTCTATGTATATACATATATATATATATGTATATAATCTCTCTCTCTCTCTATCTCTAGTTCCCTACTGACCCTCAACCGTAAACCTTAAACCTTGAACCCTCATCCCTGGGTTTAGGGTTTAGGTTGACCCGGCTGATCTGTAAGTTTTCAGTTGTACTCTCGCCCAGGTGATGCAGCCTTCCACATGCAGCAGCAAGCTGGACAAGAGTGTGCTCTGAAAAACTAAAGCGCTCAACCCCACAGCCCTAAACCTCAAGGCCTTCAACCCCGAACCCTTCAACCCTAAACCTTCAAGCCTTCAACCGTAACACCCTAGCTCCTGAACTCTAAACCCTACGACCCCTCAAGCGAGGTCGGGCAAGCAGGGAGCCTCCTCACGCAAGATAGCTGCGCAATGACCTGAGTTCATGACCCATACAAGCTATAGTCTAAACTCCTTAAAAGGGGGTTTTTTAGGGGATTATATAGGGGACTAGTATAGCTCTTATTTAGGGGGATACTAGCTAAACCCTAAACCCTTGAAAAGGGACTATAGGCCACTTAAGTCTTCTAAGTGCTATATTCCTAGGATACAAGGTATGTAGCAATGTAGGGTGTCCACAGTGGCTCCTGACGCCTGGGGTAGGTTTGAACCGTTCCGGTCTCTCCTTGTCCGGTCTCCCCAAGGAGATCCCTGGTGTGCATGCAACACTTAAAGGTTAAGTACCCAATTTTGGAAACTCCCGTATTTGTTCAATTTCGTGTACCCGTCGATATGTTATTCAAAAGGGTGAAGCTAGGTCAGCACTTCGGCCATCCTATCTGGGATCTAGGCAAGTTTCAGGGATGATGAGGGGGCTTTTGGGTTTAGGTTGAGGGATGCAAAGAAAATGTCGCAGAGAGTGTGTGAAATGCTCTGGAGTCACGGAGACTTTATCAGGATTGAAGCTACGAAAAACCTTGACTACATGCGGGTACACGTGAAGGTACATGTAACCCTAAACCGAGTAATGCAACCTGCTGTCAATGCTGGGCAAAGCTCTCCCAAGATCTAGAAACTCAGGGTTTAGGATTCAGGTTGATGGACCAGTGAAGAAGGAAACATATGCAAAGCAAACGTGCAATGTATGCAACAATAGTGAGGGCCTTATCGGGAAGAGAACATTCATGCGCTGAGTTCTAGCATTGTCAGTGCCTTTGATCCCTCCAGCCTTGTGCTACGCAGCGCCCACCCCTGATATCAAATATTCGCATAAGAGTATCCCACATGTACGTTTTGGAGTTGGGGGTGTGCAGATAAGCGAACTGCTCAGGTCTCCCGGTGACGCTGGTGGTGGTGCAGGGCGCGAAACTTACTTTGCGGTACGGTTTAGGGTAGTCCTTGGGTTGCATTCTTTAGGAGTCACAGCAAGGCTTGCTTTCATGCAGTTGCGTCATAACTATTTGATTTTGTAGTGAGTGGGTTTCCATCACGTTGAAGGACAGCCCGTAGAATTTCGACAGGTTTCGTGCTAATCATTGCCCGCTTTTCTGAGCCCAGGGCCGTTCGTCTACCCTCTCTTTTTGTCCAACGTCAACACTTCATGTCTACAAAACAATGTTCAGTAACCCTAAAACAACCCACCCCTTTCGCCTAATTGGCCTTGGAGGTTGGGTTGACCAGTAGCTTCGTCAATCCCGGTCTGCTGTCCTCTCAATGCGATTGTCCCTTCTTATGGGAGATGGTCTGGGGTTTAGGGTTTAGGGCTCAGGGTCTGGGACCCCAAGGCTTGGTTTCCAAGCTCTTCTGGTCTGGAGAAAATCCTTAAGAGGATGTTCCTGGACAGGCGCCCAACACCCTAATGAGGCCTAGGATTTCAACAAGAGTTAACAAAAGATTGCCTTGTGG